GCACACACTGAGTAGTCCTTAGTCTATTCGAAGGTCTGCTTGCCCCTCTTCTTACATGTTTTCTTTAACATCCACATTTTTGTAGTCAATGTGTTGTGTTGTATCAGCTTGCTGATGAGTTCTGCCGCCATCCTCATGCACATTTGTTTGGGCTGCAACCATGACATTGGAGCTCTGATTTGTAAGTGTAATTTTTAATGCATCCGTACAATGAAGAAAATCGAGCAGGCTATGATTAAAAACGTAAGCAGGCTCAAAGTCCATCAGTTTAAGACTTGATGTGAAAGATGTCATTAATATATGTGTGTTTATTTTCAAAACTTCATGTTGAATTTTTTCCATCCATAAAAATTTAACTCAGCGTAAAAAACATACTATATGTTTTATCTAACAACTCGAAGCAGCAGGAGATAAGTCACTTCATGTGTGGGAGAGGAACACGAGAAAGTGACGTATACATATTGCCAACCCCGACTGGAACACCTGCAGATTTTAAATTAAATAAACCAAATCTAGTCTAACTCAAATTGTACATAAGAAAACAGCAGAAAAAGCCATTTCAAAATTATCTCAACAGAAAAGACCAACAGCATTTTTTCTCATATCTTCAGGATGAAAACACCACAAAAACTAGAGAAATAATTAGAAGAAAATCATGAAAATGAGTACACAGGGGTTTTGAATGAAAATCCAGCAAGTATAGAAACATGGAAAAGACATATATACATAGCATTACAGAAAGCTACTTACTCAGAGTTTTGAAGCTCCATCGTGCTTTACTGATCTGTGTGAACAGTTAATTCAGATAAACACTGCACTGGCAATCACGCACACGTGCCATAACCTGATGTTAAGCAACTGTTTTGATTTTGTTTATCCAATGTTATTCCCATAAAAAAGAAAAAAACACAACAAATGAAGTATATTAACATAAGAAAAAGCTAGATGCCACACAGTCAATTGAGTGAAATTAACGTACCATACAAAACACATTGAGATCTTGTGGGGCTGTGTTGGGAAATGTGTGAAGAAGAAAATCCGACCATTATGTATAGACTGTGAAAAGTATGATAAAGCAGTGTAAACTACAGAATGTTGATTAACTCTGTAAACTGTTCATGTGTGTGTCTGCTGTCATTTGTTGGTGAGTCAGTGATGATTGTAAAACACAACCTTTTTTTGTATTTTTGCAATTTCCTCCCACTGATTTGCAATGAATAAAGTAGCAATAAAAATATGCCTTCGGTTTGGATGTGGATATATTTGACATTGTCAAAAAAGCGTTCTCGAATCTTTTAAAAAGTTCTCATGCTGTAGTTTAGATTTTGCATTTAAATATGTTATAAAATTTCATTTTCAGACTAAGTTGATTGTTTAAATGTGACAGATGTGTGCACATACATTAAAGCACATCTATGTGGAAGTGCTGAGTTGTGGAAAGATAGCCACTCCAGTTTGTACTGTAATTATGAATACATGCATATAGACCTGAGCTTATAGCTTAGTTTAGTTTTAGTTTTAGTTTAGTTTAGTTTATATGTTTTTTAAAGCTCATAATACATCACTCATTCCAACTTTAATCAGTACTGGAATATCTGATGAGTGACCACACCGAGTTCGAGACAGATCTCTTCTGGAAATTTTGAGATTTGAGGGATTTAACACACCTCAATATATACTGTAATCATGAACATTTGCACTTGGGACTGTATCTGTGATAAATCGTGTAATACACTATATTGCCAAAAGTATTCGCTCGTCTGCCTTCACATGCATATGAACTTGAGTGAGATCCCATTCTTAATCCATAGGGTGTAATATGATGTTGGCCCACCCTTTGCAGCTATAACAGCTTCAACTCTTCTGGGAAGGCTTTCCACAAGGTTTAGAAGTGTGTTTATGGGAATTTTTCACCATTCTTCCAGAAGCGCATTTGTGAGGTCAGACACTGATGTTGGCCGAGAAGGCCTGGCTCGCAGTCTCCGCTCTAATTCATCCCAAAGGTGTTCTATCGGGTTGAGGTCAGGACTCTGTGCAGGCCAGTCAAGTTCTTCCACACCAAACTCGCTCATCCATGTCTTTATGGACCTTGCTTTGTGCACTGGTGCACAGTCATGTTGGAACAGGAAGGGGCCGTCCCCAAACTGTTCCCACAAAGTTGGTAGCATGAAATTGTCCAAAATCTCTTGGTCTGCTGAAGCATTAAGAGTTCCTTTCACTGGAACTAAGGGGTCCGAGCCCAACTCCTGAAAAACAACCTACACCATAATCCCCCCTCCACCTAACTTTACACTCGGCACAATGCAGTCAGACAAGTACCGTTCTCCTGGCAACTGCCAAACCCAGACTTGTCCATCAGATTGCCACACGGAGAAGTGTGATTCGTCACTCCAGAGAACATGTCTCCACTGCTCTAGAGTCCAGCGGCGGCGCTTTACACCACTGCATTCAACGCTTTGTATTGCACTTGGTGATGTAAGGCTTGGATTCAGCTGCTTGGCCATGGAAACCCATTCCATGAAGCTATCTACGCTGTTCTTGAGCTAATCTGAAGGCCACATGAAGTTTGGAGGTCTGTAGCGATTGACTCTGCAGAAAGTTGCCGACCTCTGTGCGCTATGCGCCTCAGCATCCGCTGACCCCACTCTGTCATTTTACATGGTTCTGCCACTTCGTGGCTGAGTTGCTGTTGTTCCCAATCACTTCCACTTTGTTATAATTCCACTGACAGTTGACTGTGGAATATTTAGTAGCGAGGAAATTTCACGACTGGACATGTTGCACATGTGGCATCCTATCACGGTACCACACTGGAATTCACTGAGCGACTCATTCTTTCACAAATGTTTGTAGAAGCAGTCTGCATGCCTAGGTGCTTGGTTTTATACACCTGTGGCCGTGGAAGTGATTGGAACATTTGAATTCAGTGATTTGGATGGGTGAGTGAATACTTTTGGCAATATAGTGTACGTCCACCAGTTTGATTCTATTCTAGGATATAAGACAAGTGTCCACACACTGTATACTGCAATAATTTATACATGCACATACATCTTGGTTTGTATGCTTATAGTAGCTCATAATAAGTCATTCATTCCAACTTGATCATTCCAACTTGATTCTAGAATACAATAAGTGACAAATGTTTACACCAACTTTGAGACAGATCTATGATGCAAATATTGAATTTTGGGGCATTTAACACACATTAATTTATAGCCTTGTTATGTTGCATGCATATTCACCTGGGCCATACATCTGCTTCAAACCTGGTGGTGACACATCTCAGATATGGTAGTATAAAGGTTGGAATGAGTGAAGTACTGAGTTTTAACAATCATATATGCCCAGGTGTATATGCAAACATCAATAATTACAGTATACATTAATGTGGCTATGTTTCCAAACTCAACATTTTCACCTTAGATCTGCTTTAAACTTGGTGTGGACACTTGGCATGGATATTATATTATGGAATCAAGTTGGAATGAATGATACATTATGAGCTTTACCAAACACATAGGCCCAGGTCTATATGCATGTATTAATAATTATATTTTAAAATAGGGAGGTTACCTTCCCAATTCTAAAACTTCCCAAAATAGATCTGCTTCAGACTTGTTGTGGATACTTGTCAGATTTTCTGCAATAGAATGAAGTTAGAAAGAGGAAAATATTGAGAGGATCATCACAGATACAGCCCTAAGTGCATGTCTTCATAATTATAGTATATATTGAGCTGTGTTAAATCCCCCTAGAACACAAAACTTCTATCATAGGTCTGTTTCAAACATGGTTAGATACTTGTCAGATATTGAAGCATAAAACAATGTTGGAATAAGTGATTATGTCATGAGCTTTAATAAACATATACACCTAGGTCTATATGCATGCATTAACAACTACAGCATGCATTAGGCCGTAAATGTTTTCAAACCTCAAAATGTCCACCATAGATCTGCATCAAACGTGGTGAGGACACTTGTTGTATACTGTAGAAATTAGTTGGAATGAGTGATGCATTACAGTTTAGTATATAGGTGCAGGTGTATGCATGCATTCATAACAATGGAATAAATTAAAGTGTGTTAAATCCCCAAAAACTAAAATCTACCACCACAGATCTGCTTCAAACTTGGCATGGACACAACTTACAGATTTCATAAACATATATGCTCATGTGTATATGCCACATTGATAATAACATTATTGATTAGGGTGATAACTGTTTCTTAACACAAAATTAGATCTGCTTTGAACTTGGTGTAGATACTTGTCTGATATCTAGAATAGAATCAAGCTGGAGTAATGAACATATTACAAGATTTATCACAGATACAGCCCCCAGTGCATGTGTTGATATATTTAGGTGTGTTAAATGCCGCACAACTCAAAATGTCCACCGTACATCTGCTTTAAACATGGTGTGGACACTTATCAAATTTTGTATTACAGAATCAAGGTGGAATGAATATATATTATAATAAACCTTTCATCAAGGCAAGAGAAACATGACTAAAGTTGCCAGAGATAGTTAAAAAAAGAGTTGGGGTGCTATGTCTGCAGTCTAGCCGTGACAGAGCGGATTACATAAAAAGCCTCTTCCTGCTTGGTAGTGGGTGGAATATAAACAACAACAATGGTGTTCGTAAATTCGCATGGCAGAAAGTAAGGCCTAAGACCGAGAGCCAGCAGTTCAGTGTCTGGGCTACCAACATACTCCTTAACTGTTATGTGTCCAGAGTTTCACCATTAGTTATTAATAAGCACAGCAAAGACCCCACCTTTATTTGGTGTCCCTGTCCACTCTCACTCTGTGAAAGCCTGCTATGGTAACATTAGCATCAGGGATAAGCTGATGTAAATATGTCTCTGTAAAGAACATGATGCTACATTCCCAATATTTCCCTTGGTTCTTCTCTAATGCTCCAAGCTCGATCATCTTGTTAGCCAGCAACCACATGTTCCCCATGATGATATACATAAGGAATGATTTATACCACTGTTTCGCTGCTTTGAGTCACGCTCCTGCCCTGCACCCCTGGTGCTTCATCCCTAGCTCTTCAGTGATTCGAGGTCGGTCTCTGGGCAACAGGGTCCCGAGTGTAAACAATGGGTTCAGCTTCCATGGTGGCTTCAGGGAAAGTAAATGGTGAAAAACAAATGACTAAACAGATAACTCCACAACTACACAGGGCTGTAACCAACAATACTAACATAAAAAAACAATGGCACCTTATGGCGCCATACAGTATATATTGAAGAGTTTTAAATCCGCAGAACTCAAAATTTCCACCATAGATCTGTTTCAAACTTGGTGTGGACACATCAGATACAAGTCGGAATGAGTAATGTATTATGAGCTTTAATAACCACATAAGTTCAGGTCTACATGCATGCATTAACAATTACAGGATACATTAAGGTGGGTACCTTTCCAAAACTTAAAATTTTCACCATAGATCTGCTTTTACCTGGGTGTGGTCACTTATTAGATATTGTAGTATACAATCAAGTTGGAAGGAGTGATATGTTATGAGCTTTAATAAACTAATAAGCTCAAGTCTATATGCATTTATTCATAATTAGAGTGTAAACTGGAGTGAATATATTACCACATTATCATCACTTCCACATAGATGTATTTTGAAGTTTGTGTAGGCAATCAACTTAGTCTGAAAATGAAATTTTGTGAGATATTTAAACACAAAATCTCAACTACTCTATAAGAACTTTTAAAAGATTGTATGAACCCTTTTTATACAAAGTCCATGACCATGAATGCACTACAGTAGTACCCCTAAAATTTGAGCTCACGCGATTTAGGTGCGGATAGCTTGACTGCAGGCTTACAAAATGCACTTATATGGTAAGTTGAGTTTATGGATAATGACACTAGATAAGGTAGGTGGACCTGAAGTGACCAGTGAGTGTATAGAGCCCACTTTACACTGTTTACAGCTGTCTTTATGTTTACTGGTCAGTTATTCAGTTATGCTGCGCATCAGATTATATAATAAGTATTGTATTCCCTGGTGTGTGCCTTCTGTTCATTTAATTTTCATTTCAGAATCCAGTATTGAAAAACTGCAAATGGATCGATTCTCGTTTCTGGTTCTGTTATTCTCAGTGGAAAAATCAAGAAATAGCTTCATTTTACAATTTCACAGGATAATCATAAAATCAAATAAACAAACAGCAATGAAATAAAGGGTCGTATTCTAATGATCCAAATTTAAAATTTCCCATCATAAGCGGAAATAAACATGCAGAGCGGAAGTATGGAAGCTCAGAAATCACAGAAATCAGGCCTGTGGTTGTGGTTTATTGGTCGGCTATATTACTTTTTTGCGTAATGTTTGTACATTTGACCTGTACAAACTATATGTGAAAGAAATTATATAGGGAAAAACGGAACTGCCACCATTTGACGGGGGCTTCGTGCTCCGCAGATCAGCTGCTGACGCGCACAAGTTCCAGAAGTGTTCTGTCGGTATTCTGCCGAACTCCCCTATGCGTGCGCACATCACATAGGCATATGGACACTAGATTCATTCTCTCTTTCAGTCATAATGACCAGTACTGTAGTCTCTTGGTGAAGAGGGAGACTGAGGCTGTCGTTCTACTAAAGAAGTGCTCTTTATTGACACCAGCAGAAAATTTAAGGCCCATACAGGGCAGCCCCTTAGCAATGAAGGTCGATTCCGCTCCCTCCGCTTCATGGTAGACACTTAACCCAACTAACTAAACACACCTGGGCCAGGGAGGACAAGGGGGTGCTAGAGGGTGCGCAGATCTAACGCGCCTCTAAAGCTCCTTTCCCCCCAAAACCGGAGCGCCACCACGAGTCGAGCTGCATGTCGGCGCAGTTTTGCGCATGCTTGATATTGAATTAATTTAAATCAGTAAAATCAACCCCTTATTCTATTGCTGTTTGTTTGTTACTTGATTTTATGATTAGTCTGTGAAACTATAAAATGAAGCCATTTCTTGTTTTTCGACTGACAATAACAGAGTCAAAAAGGGGATTTGACCCACTTGCCGTTTTCAACACTGGATTTTGAAATGAAAATTAAATGAACAGAAGTTGATAAATGCAGTCAGGCAACCAAAAAAAAAAAAAACAAAAAAAAACTTGGCATAGTAGTGGCGACACTAAAACAGGTTGGAGCTGTTCTTGGCTGCGGAAAATAGCAACGTAACGCTCATTCCTCGTTCTCTAAAGTTCACTTGATGTCAGTAGGCTAATTCTTCTGTCAGCTGCTTTTCATTGCAGGTCATGCAGTGAGCCGCACTAATAATGTCAGCTCTTAAACTCTTGAGCAATTTACAAATTCACGTATCATCTCTCCCTCTGTGCGCACACACACGTCATTTGATGCCACTCCTCAGTAGTTTTTAGCCTAGGTCACAGCGAGATATTGGATTAAAATTTCTGAACTTTATCATAGTCTGATTTTGGTCCCAGAAACAATAAAGTCACAATGAAAAAAGCTATGTCAGATTAAACGTCCAGAGAACACCGAATTTTAACTCCTTTACCTTTTGTTATCTTGACTGTTATCGCACAGTATAAACCGGGCTTAACTAAACACAGCTCGCTTCTCCTACTTAATCATCAGTTTTAGCGTATCGTTATATTGCTAGACCTGTTTATTCAGATACATTTTAGTGATTTAAACACTGATGTTTGCGTCGATGTGTTTGAGTCTTTTCTAACTAGGAATAACGGTTAATCAGCATTGGTTTTACGTAAAGAGCGCTTCTGTAACTGTAAATAAATCATGAAATATGTTCTTTAATCTCCACGCTCGTATAAAAGATCTTCATTTATGAACTTACCGAGAGCTACATCCAAGTCTCCGTTCTCTCTTCCTTGGTTACGCTAAACTTTCGGTTTCATTCCTCCCTGTGCATTTCGAACGTGTTCCAAACAGGCTCTAAGCCTCTCCCCAGTCAGCATCCTGGTGACGCCAACAACGGGCAAACCTTTAGGGCAAGAGTCCCTGAGGGCTGCAAGTTTGCAAATGTGCATTTGGAACAGACTGGAGTCAGATCTGTGCATGTGTGACGGCTGTGCGTGCACTATGAAAAAAGGATCAGTGCTGTATGAAATAGAGTCCTGCTGCTCACAGCAAAGACTTGTGCTTGTTTTAGAGAGAAGTTTGTGTTCTTATGTTTTATTTACATTTTTTTAGAACTTGCAGTAGCCGTGCACTGTTTAAGTTAGCGCTGAATTTCGTGACATCTCTTCCCTCAACAACTGTTGGCTGCTTTGGTCCAGACAGCACACCCACGTAAGAGAAACATCGGTAAAACACCGAACTGGAGGGAAAATTTGTCGTTTCTTGTTTTCCTGCTGAACGTCCCAGACAGCACAAACAGGGCGTTGCTACGTCGCTGCTCTGTATTAAGAATGGTTGGCATTTAGGATGTTGGCACTATGTAGCTCCGATAATAAGCGCCCTCCAAAGGATGTTCATCCAACATACTGACTTTCATCCTCCGTTTCAGCGACGTAAATTCTGTGCTATTATGTCATAGCCATCTTTGCATAGTAAGCCAACAAGTTTCTGTTTCTATTAACATCTTTTTTATTACTGTTTAGTTAAAAGCATTTGTGAAAAGGTTAACAATAAACTTTTATTAGAAAAATTAAATGTACATGTAACTTAAAAATTAAGGAATGTTAAAAAACTGACAAACATTTAATTAATCCTAGCAACATAGAAATAACACAAACAATATAAATATATGCCTCTACTGTACGATTACACAAAAAATCATTAAACAACTTCACTTCCAATAAATACTTTGCTTAAAATGTCAAAAATAAGAACACTCACCTTTGAGATAGGCAGTCAATCAGCTCTATGACATTTCCACAGTATTGTGCAAATCAAAACAATAGGAATAGTGGCTAGTTACAACTTTTGTTGCCCAGCATATTTCTGCTGAAAGTGCTGGATTAGAACTAACAAATGATTTTATGGTGCTTGTGGTCTTGCTGGTTGTCTGATGTGGATTAGAAGACCCCGTGGATGGTAGAGGGGCAACTCCTGTTGCTACTCCAATGGCTGCTTCCACTGCATGTTCACTCTCTACACTGCTGCTTGCTGACATGGATGTAGCTGTGCTGTTTGGTGGGCTGCTTGTCTGCTGGAAAAAAAATCCCCCTCAACTTGGATTTAGATGTCTTCTTATCAGATTTTGATGTTTCTGTAACACCAAAAATAGGAGGAAAAATGTTATTTAAAAAAGAGATTTATTCTCAATACAGTTATCAGGAAAATGATATTTGTCAATCAGCCATGCTGCAGTATGTGTTATTATACAAGTTCTACATTATCACTTTTAGTGATAATTTTTAATATCTTGTATGGTAATAATATATGGTAATAACATGACATACAAAGACTTTGAGCCAAATTACATCTGCAACTGTCATTTAATTGTAAGTCAGAAGACTTTGACAGTGCACAAGAACCTGCCTGATATACTAAAGAGAAATTGTGTTTCTCCATTTATTTTATTTACCATTAATACTGATATTATTATTTACGATTATAATATATTGTTCATCTTTCTTATTTAACATGCAGCATTAAAGTAATTTACTTTTCATATGCCAAAACATATATACATTTGGAGTAGAGACAACTGGCGGGTGACAACTTTGCTACTGTACAGACTGTACTTTCTTAGCCTTAAGTTGACTGGATGCATTAAGCTAACTTTTGCTAAAGTTTTCAGTTGCAGGGAGTTACTAACGTTACTCTTACTGTTAAATAACGCTGAGTATGTTCACTGCACATTCCATCCATAAATGTGCATTATAATTGACATGCAAAACTAGCCAATTGTACCACATGCTGTGCATCTCATTAAGCCTGCAAATTCCCCAGCTAGCAGTGTACATAAACAAATTAGAAAAAAATTAAAAGTGTAATGCTGACCTACCTGAAAATTCTCTACTACGATTTACCTTTCATGTGACTCGAGGGTGCAGACTCTCCCACTGTGAAAAGCTGGTTTGTATTTGTCATTTTTCAGCCAGCGCTCATTAAAACGGCAACCTCCCGACGTGTTGGTGCAATTCTTTCCAACTCACTGTGTCTTCGGGGAGACTGGTCACACAAGAAAAAAGACTGGCTGATCTAGCTAGCGGTGTATCGGTCATGCACAAACTCTTTGAGCCAGGTCTTTTAAGTCAGGGGTCAGCAGCCCCAGTGTTAGGAACAGCCATTTTGTCCTTTCAACCACCTTGGGAGCCACAACAGTTCATGTCCATTTTAACATCTTAGCTGTAAATTTGTCTCAGTGTGTGCAAATGAACTAGTATAGGATAAAACATGTATAATATAAAACATAGACTTTGCTTTCAACTTTAGCTCAACAATAGCTGCGCTGCGTCTTCAGCAGGAACCCATTCCTCAAAAGTAGAACAGTTTCTTGTAAAATGTCTCTCACCGTTTGAATTTTTACAAGCCTGAAGTCGCTTCTTATTCGAATTTTCCTGTTCCACCTTAAATGGTGCCTGAGGTGCCAGAATGTAACTGCTGCACCATTTAAGGTGGTACGGGAAACTTCAAACAAGAAGCTGGCAAATGAGAAACTTCAGCTTCATGACTTTTTTTCTGTTTGACAGACTTTTTTCTGTTTGTAATCACCTCCTAAACAGTCAATTTAATACAAATAAAAACACAAACACACACAAATTTAAGTTGGTTAATATGATCTTAAATAATATGTACATCGAAAAACATTGCACATTTATATTTACTACATTAATACATGTAAAGCACAGAGCTTGACTAAAGTTTAGTCACATTTTTCCTCAAAGTAAAACTCTGGGCTAACATCTTCCTTCTTTTGTCACAGGAACAGTGGATGTTGCCACTGCAGGGATAAAGGAGTTGGAGCAAAAAGTGATGGAGCTGGAGAACAAAAAGAGGCTTATGTTCCTGACATTTCTGCTCCACTGATGAAGAATTCTGCTTCTTCACACGATTCTCCGACGAGGAAATCTTCCTGTTGTTCTGGGAGTCTGTTGCACCGTCAGCTTCTAGAAACATTTACTGGACCAAGGCATAGAGGGAGACATGTGGAACACCCAGTCCTCATCGCAAACTGCCCCCTCATTGATGAATGTTTCCTGTGTCTTTGCCGCTTTACTGGTGGACTCAAGAAACACGCTTTGGCATCAATGTTCAAGGTCACTTTGTCAACAGTTATCTGTATCATCACAACATGGACCAGTTACTTTTACCTTGTTTTGGGCTCTCAACCTTCATGGATGATGTGACAGCAAGTGCAAGCCACCATGCCTGAAAAATTCAGCAGGCCAGACTGCCCAGAGGTCTGTGTGCTGATTGACTGCACAGAGGTCTGCTGTGAGACACTCACCGTACAATCTGGAAGCTTCTCAAAAGATAATCACATTCAAGGGACTGGTTGGGGTCGCTCCCTGTGGCATCATCACGTTTGTTTCCAAGCTTTACACCGGATCCATCTCAGATCAGGAAATAACTCAGAGATCTCACTTCACCAGGCTGCTGCAACCAGGAGATGGAGTGATGGCTGATAAGCGCTTTCAGATTGAAAGGATGTTAGCAGAAGTAGGGGCCACCCTGATCAGCAAGGAAGATGCCGAGAAGACACACATGAGAAGGGCCATCTGTTGCTTGATGTGGAACTATCAGGATCCCCTGGACATCAAGGAAGATAAACCTGTTTGAACTCATGTAATTTTCAGGTTTTAGAATTTTTCAATTCAGATTCATGTATTTCTTTTTAATCAAGTCTGCACAAAACTCTGGTTACAAGCTCAGCTTAAACCTCCCACTTTCCTCAGTCACTCTCACTCCAGCTACTACAGTTTCTTTCTAGTTGTTCAAGTTACTGTTATTATTGTCCAGAGGATGTTTTTGTATGTTGATGTTGCTTCTGTTAAACAACGTTGGATATGAAAAACACATGAATTCAACTTAGTACAGGGAGATTCACTCGAAAGAGTCCCCGAGTATTCTGTTGTAACTCCCGTTAGGATGAAGCAACCCAAACTAAAAAAATTGTCACACCCACTGGCCGTTCCTTCATTCAGAGATCAGCTTCTCCGGAGTATTGAGAGCTGACTTCTCCCACACTCACGCACCTGCCTTCAATCTGCTCATCAGCCTCCCTTTATAACCAGGACTCTCATTCTGCCTCCTTACGAGGTATTGCCGCTCTCAGTGACTTTATTGAGCCGTGATCCTGTGTTTTTGGTATTTTGCTCTGTGGATTCTGTTATTAAAGATTCTCTGCATTTGCATGTCACTACCCTGTTCGCGTGTTACAGAATACCTCACCGACCCATGGATGCAGCAGAGAATGCAGCTCTACCAGAGGTGGTGGCTGAACAAGGCCGAGCTGTGCAGGCCATCCAGCAGCAGTTAACTCAACTTGGTTCTGCGTTTGACGCCCTCACTCAACACCTGGACGCTATGTTTAACCAATCTGACCCAGTTCCAGTCCAACAACCAGTCCAGCAACCAGTCCAGCAACCAGTTCGTCCCCAAGCTGCTCTTCCATCCCTGCCTTCTGCCCAAGCTCCCCTTAAAGTAGCCCTTCCAGATAAGTATGCTGGTGATCCAGATGGCTGTGAGGGGTTTTTACTTCAATGTGCTATCTATTTCTCTCAGCAGCTTCCTCCTGGCCCATCCGAGCATGCTAAAGTCATGTTTATCACCTCACTACTTACTGGTAGAGCACTAAAGTGGGTTACTGCCCCATGGTCTCAAAATCCGGCTATAAGTAACAATTATGAACAATTCCTGTCACAGTTTAGAACAGTTTTTGGTTCTCCTCAGGGCGGAAGGGAAGCGGGAGAACAATTAATGGGACTGAAACAAGGCCGTGGCACCGTAAGTGATTATGCTCTTA